ATTTCAAGCTGTAAAATGCTTTTTTGATCATCTCGATACGATCATTTTTGACGAAGTTACACTCTCTTGAATTTTGCCTATTTTTGGAGGCTAGAACAGGTGATCCTTTAATTTTTTGGACCAGTGTAGTTTACATTTATTACTCTATAATAGCATTTTGCTATTTGATCATTACAAAATAACTCTAAAAGATGTGATCTTTTTTTCAAGAAATCTGCAACATATCTGCAATCTGTTTTTACTTCTATTATGTTTTCATTAGTTTAATATGGTTTATTGCTTAAGCAACTTACACTATGATATGTGTCAACTTACCCGGCTATCGGGGTAAATTGGCTACATTGCAGCATGTTCACTTACTATAAAAAAAACTATACAGTATACAGAATCTTTCCTAGCATGAAAATGTAGAGAAAGGTTCATTCTACCATATTAATATAGTTTAATCATAATAAATAGTTGTTTAGAAACAGGAATGTCTAAATTGTGAAAACTGTGCCAACGAGCCCCGGTCTCCTCTACCTATAAGAGTTAACACGTTTCTTGTTGATCATCGGTGATCCACACTATATTTTCCGTTCAGACTATTTAATATTTTGGCCACAAAAAGAAGAATAATTATAAAATAACTTTTGATATTATGCGTAGATATATAATTACGATGTATGATGCGTTGGACCTCTTACATTACATATGTAATAGCGTTACATTAGGCCTTCTTCTTTATAATAATTTTTATAACATTTTTAACCATTATGAAATACATGTTATTTAACAAATATAACAAACACAAACAAAAATATCATGGATCACCGATGATCCCGCGCGGCGTGATGATTGCTTATAAATTGGTGCGGCACGTGTTGATCAACTTTTGCCCAAATGTATCTGCCAGTATGTATCCGCCCAAACGTTTGTCTTTTATTTCTTTTTCTTTCAAAGTTTGCTAAAGTTGCTCGCGGATTTTCGCCGTCGATTCTAGATTCGGGACAAACAAGAGCAGATAATTTTGTCCTTATAGAGAAATCTGCTCTTACAGAGAAATTAGGCAGCTACGTAATTATTGATTAAACCGTCCGGATTTATATCCGCATTTTCCGTGTATATAATATATATATATATATATATATATATATATATATATATGTATATCTAAGCGGAATGTGGTCAAAAGAATCTTAACTATGTCAGCGTTCATAGCAAATCGGAGTTGCACATAATTTCAAGCTGTCAAGAATAATTAAACCGAACTATTCAGCAGCAAATTAACATTTATTACGTAGCAGTTACAATTCAATTACAGTTTAGCAAACAGCATTGTAGCCCTTATTCCTACTTTACGAAATACAAACTATTAAATCAGCTTCAAAGGACCATATAAAGTCCACAATTTGACGTAAACGTTCTACGTCTAACGAAAAATAAATTAAAAACAATTTTATTAAAAAATAAGGTTTATTTTTATAACAATTTTTATATTTTGTTAGCCCTCCACTAATTTTTATTTTTAAAAATATTGCCTTTTCTAAGAAAATGCAATAAATTGAAACTGTTTTTATACTTATACTTGTATAGATAAGGGCTGTATTATTGCGATACATTTTCTGATAATATTATTATTATATATATTTTGCTTTCATTATATTAAATTAGTTTTGACGTGCTTTCTTTCAGTCGCAGATAAAATTTTGCGACAGCATCGTGTTCTATAATTACTTTCAATATATGAAATTAAGAATAGAGAATGCAATATTTTCGTTTCATGGTATCTTTTTCTGAACAATTGTAGTGGCTCCAGAGAGTTGTTTTTGGAGGGGAGGAGGCGGTATGACAAAATGTGAATATTTAGTTATTATTGTCGTTAATGTTATTTTTAATTTTTTTTATTATTTAAAAAAAAATTGAGTGAACATTATTTAATCTCGAATAATCTCTGATAATTTTCTTTTTTCAATTCATTTGAAACCGACTTTTTTCAATATACGAAATTTGGTTAGAGAACTCTGGGGGGCGGCGATCGCCCCCTCCGCCCTCCACCCCACCCTTGTATCCGCCACGGTTGCAGCTCGTTATTTACGAGTAATCTCCTTTATTCAGAAACGCGTTTTGAAAGAAGATAGGCTGGGTCGCATATGCGGAAAGCGTCGCAATAACGGAATATATGTATAACGTATCGGGAGAGATGAACGAGATTTCGAACGTCACGAGGGCTACGAGGCTGAAAAATATCATGATTAATCTATAGTTGATTCGCGCGATTTGCGGGAAAATTGGACGATTTCGTAGAAAATATCTCTCAATCGAATTGCTGCTATTGACTGCATTCAACTCGCGGAAAATCTTGGTGAAATGAAATTCGCGCGTGCGTACCAATTAAGTGTCGCGGTAATTTTGCCTTTCTGCGCGAGCACCTCGCCTCATGCCGATATTGACTTTGAAATAATGCGAATTTTTAATGTAATATTTAACCTTTAGAAAACACACGCCCGATGGCGTCTACTAACTTTTAAACTTTGTACCGGAAAGTTTGAGGATTAATTTGTAGAAAACTACCTGTTGGATTGTTTTCTTATAAAACAACTGGAGAAGAGTAATTCTTAGGAAGAATACGAGTTCAAAATTTCATAGCAAAGAGAATATTTTGTTTGGAAGCTGTTTTAGTCGAGAAATTCAATTTTCGTCACGTGTGATGGACATAACGCAATAAGAAATTAATTATATTTTAAAAACATTAATAGAATAATTGAGATTAATAAAAAAACAAATCAGTACGATCCAATCCAATTTTTATTAAAATGGAATCAAAGGACATACAAAAAGAAGGTCCAATCGAAACAAATAACAGCGTTCCAATTAAATTCATCGTTCATGATCGTGATTATTGTTTGAATTCCAGATTATATTTTAATTAATTCTCGATTCGATTTTCTTATTTATTTGGTATAATTAATGTCAAATTTTCCTTTCCCCTCTCTCTAGCTCTGCAGCTCATTTTAATTAAATAAAATTATATTTACATAATAGACATAATAGACAACCAATCAATATGATATATAAAAATATATTAATAATTTAAGGAAGATGTTGACTTAAACATTTCTATATGTGTCGTATTATTTATGTCAATCAGATATTTATTATTTCGATTGTTTTACATAAAAAATTTAAATTACAATATTCTTTTATAAGCTAGAGTTAACCGCATGTGATATCAGAAATCTCGATTAAAAGAAATACGTTTGGATAAAAAGAAAGAAAATCTGAAATTGAACGCAATCATCATATCACTGGATGCGAACAATTAAGACGTACTTTCACGCTGGTAGCCTTAATTCAATTTTGATTCTCTCGGCTTCGATTATCTCAAATCGAAGCACAACAGTTGGCTGCGCTAAAAACCAACGAAATGATAAACTTTTATCGTTGCAGGTGGCACGCCGACTTCTATGAACTACACTGGCGAACAATGGGACTTCCCGAATGCGTGGCCACCGTTGCAATCCTTCCTGATTCTGGGTCTCCAGCAAACAAAAGTGAAAGAGGCGGTCGACTTGGCCGAGACTCTGGCCGACAGGTGGCTCAGATCGAATTACCTCGGTTACGACGAGTACGGCAAGATGTTCGAGAAGGTAAGTCCGCTTTTCACATGCATTATCGATTCTCTCTGATCCTCGTGAACGGCTCTCCGTTCATCGATGAACTAAAATATTAAGGGCTGACATTTCTTGCTGACAAGTCGCGACTGATATCCTATATATTTCAATTATATTGTTTCTCGAAACTATTAAATCTCCTCCAGAGGAAGAACAGATTTTATCGACACGTCAGTTCGCGAGCTGATTCAAAGAAAGCGTTTTTCACAACGATAAAGTGGATATATAAATGGATTTGTATAAAAAAGTCATTTTCTAAAAAGGAGGAAGGACAGAAATGTGTATATAAAAATATAAAATTGTTCAAGTATAACTATTGATATCTATTATATATGTTTTTATATCTTTTATAACGTTTTTTTTTATATTTATCACTCATAGTTGTAACCACAATATTTTTGTTTTCCCACGTTTCAATTAATTTAATATTATCTCAGAGTTACTTTTCTAAGAAGACTATTTATTGTTAGATTTAAAAAATGTTTAACTGATACGTTTTTATGGTGCATATGAAACGTTAAATAGACGTTATTAACTTTAACTATATATGTTTATTAAATCATGTCGAAATATCTCATACAAAAACGATATTTTGAACTAGTAAAAACAATGTTTTAAATAGACGTTAAATATTTTATAAAACATTTTTATAACGTTTATTAAATAATTTAAAAATGAATCAAATTTTAAACATTTATTTTTTAGTTCATACGTTTATTACACATTTTTTTAACATGATATGTTTATTAAACACCAGCACATAACAGGCGCGCGCTATGCGCGCGCTGCGTATTAAATCCTATACATCTTTCAATAACATTTATACCAATTTACATTTTAATTA